TGGGCCCGAAACCGCGAAATTCCGGGAGGCGGCAGTTTTAATATTAGGGGGGGGTTCATTAATCAGGGGAAGTGATAGTTGTCTTGTTCGAGGTGGATGCCGCAGCAAGTTCATCGATCAAGCAAACGCAAGTGTGCATGGTCGAATTCAGCTGTTGGGTGTTTTTTTCTTGAACCTGATTAACGATGTTGCAGCCATGTGGGCAGGCTGCACGGCGCGAGCGTGAACGTGGTCGTGCAGCGACCAGTGCTGCAGCATCGCGGTTGTTCACAGACAAGCCCGCCACATCCAAGCTGCTTGTTGCACAGGGGATGTATGTATGTGTGGTAAAATAGCCGTGTCGTCGACTCCACAAGTTTTTGTGTGGTCATACATCAGGGCGCCGGAGACACTGTTCCGAGCAGCTGCCAGCAGCAGGCCTTGTAAGTTCGCAGCAGCAAGAGCTGCTGTAATGGTGCTGAAGTGTTTGTTGTATGTGCTTGGGCGTGCATGTTGCAGGAAATATTGTGCGACCCCACCGCGTGCAACCTCTGCTGGAGTGAAGACACCGATCCGGAAGTCAGGGTCTGCAGGCGGCGCATGGTGCAGAAACAAGCTCGAGGGCACTGCAAATTTGCAGTTTGTTGGCGGTTCCGCGCATGAGCCGTGGCTGTCTGCTGTCACACAGTCAGCCTCAGTGTTCGGAACACGACATGATGTCGTGTCACCCCGCATGTAGCATGTAGCGCGCTCCTGAAAGTCTAACACAATCAGGGATTGTCTCCACATTTAAGTGGTGTCATCTGCCATGTACTGTCGGCATAGCACATCACGTCCGCCAGGTGACAGTCCCAGATGTGCACGAGCGGCTCAGGAAGGCTTTCGTTTTGGAGGCAGTTTGCTGGCGGAGTCGGAGTGGCCACTTTGGGCTGAGAGGTTTTGATCGATTGTGGTTGGCTTCTAGCTTAGACTTATCCAAAAAGTGCTGAACTGGAAACCCGAAGTGCAAAACCTCAGTTGGTTCGATGTCCTGAAACTTCGTCACTGGTTTCCTTGTGTTCGTGACATGGAAGCACCAAAGGGCATCAACGTCAGGCCGGGAATCACGAAGGTCTAGCTGCCGCTTTCCTCTTCAGAAGATCAATCCCTCACAGGTTGGCAGCCTCCAGCAAAGGCAGTGCAAGCAGACCGTGTGAACAGACCTCATCAGGTCCTTCAGGACACGTAGCAGATATCTGTACAGTAAACCGGGCACGAATGCCGTTCCACAGGTTGTACCCGGTCTTGTTGCAGGACTCCGTCCGTGCACAGCTGTCATCGCTGAGACATGAGAGCAAAGCAGACCAGAAGGCAGCGGTCAAGAGGCTGCTGGTTCAATGGCATCCAGACAGAAATCTGGAGCCATGGATGCCCAAGTTGTTTCAGGGCATGGGGTTCAAGTTCGAAGAAAACGACATGGCATGGTGTGCATGTGCATCCTGTGCATGTGCCAGTGTGGCGCTGCTGATGCTCAGGAAAGCCAAGACACCGCGACTGCAATTTTCCAGTTCATACAGCAGGACTGAGGGCGAAGCTCGACAACCCTCACGGCCCTTCAATTCCGACGAAAGTTGCCAGGAGAAAGATAAGATGTTGGGGCTCTAGAGGGTCATCTCCTGAGGCCGGGAGCCCGGGAGGCCCTGCTGCAAGTGGTCCTGGCATTTCCTCGGCATTGTGAGGTGGGGAGCCGGCGGCCACGGAGAGAATCAATCTGCTGTAGTTTCACGCAGGTACCCGAAATACAATTAAGTGTTTAGTAGTTTAATGTGTTTTTGTTAATGCTTTACTGTGCAGTCCGCCTGACTTCTCAAAAGAGAAAGATGGCGCGAAGACAGTCCGCCGTGCAGGTTCATGGCTCACTGCTTGGGAGAGCGTTTGGCTTGAGGGCCATTGGTTCGAATTCAGCGGAATCGGAGGCAAAAGCATCGCGACGAGCATTGCATTTGCGGTGGTGGCGTGGCATGTGGGTGCACTGGGCTACTTCTGTTATTGAACAGAACCCAGAAGTCCCAGAAGCAAAAGTGATCAATATAGCCTTGATGCAAAAGCCTCTGGATGCGAACAGCATCTGCCAGGTTCACGTCTCGAAACAGATGGCAAGCTGAGCTCCAGGTATAGGACAATCCTGCAGTAGTTGTACTTGGCAGCAGCTTTTGCTGGTTCAGGCTATCTGCTGCCAGCCATGAGTCCATGAGTCACATGGAAGTAGTTAGTTAGTTTGCAGAAACCAGTCACTTTGCCGCAGGACACTGCATATTTCTGGCTTCTGCTCTTGAACCCGAACTTCCGAAAGCCTTGCTTGGTCATCGCACGAGCAGTGCACACGGTTGCCAATGTCGCCTCTCAGCAGGGCCTGTTCATTTTCTACCAGTAGCACGGATTAGCACAGCATCCCATTGCGGATTAGTCTTGGCCAGCTATTAAAGTGCAGACACGGCCCCATGCGCGCAGGAAGCGCCTGTACGTCAGCTCACGGGTGCACTTGAGCTTGTGTGGTCTTTAGCTCGCACTTGATGGTGGTAGGATCATGCTGCTTACTTGCAGCGTTCGCATGTACTCTATGGCAGAGCGATAGGGATAAAATGTATTCCAATGACTCTAATGCTGTGATCCTCAGATCCTGCGATGTTTTTCAGAATTATTCAAGACAGGCTGAAGGTTGGCTAGTCTGTAGGCCCTTGTAGGCATTTTGTTATCGGCTCGTGAGCTCTTGCTAGGAGCGCCGGATCCGTGGGCACTCCAAGAGGCGATCCTCAAAGAGGCAGCCAGCAGGGGATGCAAGACGAACCTCAGCCCGGCAGCTTCGGCTGGCAGGAGCGTCTCTTCGATGATCATCTAACGAAGATTCAGGCTGGTGAGGCACTGCCATGTGATGCGTCGTGGTCTTGAAGAATCAGTGTTGGCTTTTAGATCGCTTGCAGGATGTGCGGAGAACCGCCAGGATGAATCCCAAGGCTTCCCGAACACGTCAGTTCAGAAACATTGTGACATGCAGCACTGCCCCGTTCCACTGAAGGAGCTGAAGTACATGCACAAAACAGCCTCTGTGCCGTCATTCAGGAGCACGCTGCGCTCTCAGAAGCCTTCTCTTGTCGATATGGACAAAGTGTGCAGTGCAGGACTGTGAGTGTCTCCATCTCCCCAGGCTGACGGTCAGAGATCGAACCTTCCTGCGCGAGTTCCATGAGAGGCCTCAAAAGGCTCATCGCTGAATATTCACCTTGAGGGTTCGTTGGGGCACTCGCGCTTCGCGAGGACTTGGTTTGGGTCGGGGCTTGGGGCTTGGGACAGATATTTGAGATTGGCCGGCAGGCTCAGCGGCTTGACGTCTACGCGCCCTATGCCGGAGTCTTAGACCTGGGGCACCCAGCGACTGTCCCCCATGTCGCAGACAATCCATAAGCCTTCCCTGAGTGGGTGCTGTGTCAATTAATTTCCGTACTAGTCAATGGCAAAACATCAGGCCGATAACTGCACGCACAGTTTGCACACAGTTCGAAGACATAAAGAGAAGGCTTTGTCAGAGCTTCTGCCGTGGGCGTGCGCAGCACGACCCACAATGCTCCGATCTTTAGTTGCGGTTTTATCGACCACACTTTCCGTAGCAAGCACAGCTGCAGCACACGTTTCTTAAAGGATCCAAGGCTCGAGGGCAGTGTCCAGTCTTGTGAAATCGGTCTTTCTCGGCTTCACAGGATGAGACATGAAAAATCCTTAGTGCACCATGTGAGCGGGAGGAGTAGACTTCAGGTTCCTGAAGTGGGCGAGTGTGAGTGTTGAGCGGTTGGATCCAAACCCCTTACCTCTCAACCGGTGCAATCATTGAGTCATTGCGCAGCGGCTGTGAAGATCGCAGCTTGCTGGTGACAATCACCATGCTGCCATGGAGCATGCATCCCTGTGGTTTTGGGTTTTTTGCTTGTTCGGTCGTGCAAGAACATGGAATTCGCACCTCTCCGCAGAGCAGCTCTACTCCTTCCAGGACTTCTACACGGACGCCCAATACGGCCCGGACTTCGGCTATTATTCGACGGGACGCATCCTCCACGTGGATGGCCTCAATGATGCCGGGGCCGGAGGACAGGAATGGTTTAACTCGTACACGACTCTGCCGATGTCACTGAGTCCCCATTTCGGCCATGCCCTTTGCGATCGTCTTGTCGCCATGTGGGCTGCCATGGGCAGCCCCAAGCCATTTGTGGTAACCGAGTTCGGCGGAGGGACAGGCATGCTAGCCCGTGACGTTCTGCGGCGCGCGAGAGATGCCCACGGCGAGTTTTACGAGTCGATGGCCCGTTACATTATCGCGGAGCGCTCTCAGGCCATGCGCTCGGCGCAGACTGCTACGGCGGGAGAGTTCGTGCCTAGCAAGCTGACGGTGCTCGCTGCGGACGGCCGTCGGGCTGCCTCGCTGCGAACCTCGCTGGAAGCTGAGATGGGAGCTGGAGCTCCCGTGGTTGGGATCCTGCTCTCCAACGAGCTCCTGGACGAGTTTGACCCGGTGAGGTTGCGCTTGGTCTGGCGCCTCTCACGGCCACCATCGAAGAGGCGCTGCACGGAGTGCGGCGCCTACCGGGAGGCGTATGTAGCGCACACCATCGACACAAAAGCTTTGATCAAGCTGGCAGACTCTGACTCCGTCGAGGTGATGCGGCATGAGGGGCAGCTGGCCTACTGTGGATTGCTCTCCACTGCTGCCCTGCGCCGCGTTGTCCTTGCCGTGGCAGAGGACCTCACGGCAGAGGAGCGTTGGCAATGCGCGCCGATGCTTGTGTGCTGTTTTCCCTTCGTGTTGGCAATGAATTCTGCCCTCCAATATCACCACGAAGTGCTGTACCAATCTGAGGTGGAGCATCGCGATGAACATGGCGAGCGTGACCTTGTGAAGCAGTACCGGACCCTTGTACGTACGACCAACGAGACAGTGCCACTGACAAAGGATCGCTACCGCCAGCTGCGCCGCATGGCCGCACAAAAAGGCTCCGAAGTGGAGAAAGCGCTGCTATTCGGCGTCGACGCCAACAATACGGATCTCGATGTGTCGAACTTCCCCGGCCGCCTGCGGAGCCTGGAGATCTACTTAGCGCTGACGCCGGAGCGCTGCCGTGAGCTGGCGCCCTGGCGGCGACGCCACGCCCTCCGCCTGGCGCACGCCGCACGCCTGCGTGACGTCTCAGCCCCAGCGTTTGGCACGGGCGGCCCAGGCCATACGGCAGCCCACCTGAAGCTTGTCCTTCGTCCAGGCGAGGCAGAGTTCGTGCGGGAGACCGCGCAGCTGCTGGACGAGGGCTTCCTCGTCACCCTAGACTATGGTGCCGATGCAGATGCTCTTCTCTGGTTCGCGGCCATCCGACCTCATTACGATGGGATCCACATCATGGATGCCAGGGCTGAGTTCCTCGATGTGTGCACTCTCGTCTCTCACTTGGAATGCCCCGGACTCCAGGACCTCACGACATCTGTAGACTTCACCGAGGTGGCAATGGCAGGTGCTGAGTGGGGCTGGACGCAGAAGGCATATGGACCCATTTGGCTGCTAGAGCTCGCATTTGGCTACGGTCTTGGCCACTTGTTGGAACGAGCCGGAGGACTCCAAAGCCCTTCCCTGCAGGCTTGGTACCTGACACCAGAGCAGGATCCCTGGGCTTCCTTCAAGATCCTCGTTCAACATCGTGGGCAGCGTGGAGCAGGCTGGAGCCTTGGGCCCTTGGCGCAGGAGTGGCCGCTTAGCCCGAACCCGCGTCTACTGCGAGGCCCGAGCCCTTGCTGGAGCCGAGACATCACGAAACCACCGCTGGCCAGTTTGGTGACGACTGCGACGCACCAAAAACTTGGCGACAAGGCATGGAAGATGTACGTAGCCGGTGCTGAGCGATCTTGGCAGACGGATTCCGAAGCAATTGAAGACGAGAGCATCGCTGATGCACTCTCCCAGCACTTTCTTGCCTTCCTGTTGCAGGAAAATATAGGCCCACTGGCGGACCAACAGGGCGAGGCGCAACAGCAAGCTTATGCGGCCGCCCACCTGGCTGCCATGCTGGTCGACTACTGGCACCATCTCCAGCAGTTGCAGCCGGAGGGTGACAGCTTGTCCGATTGGGCCCAACTGCAAGAGCAAGTTCGGAGCATGGCAGCGAACAGAATGCTGCCAATGCTTTACGGGGAAAGGAGGTTTGACGAGGTTTTCCGGCGACTGACAGACTCTGTCTTCACAATGAACGGATCTTCCAGCTGGGGCAACTCAGAAGCTTCTCCCCCGTACCTCTGCTTGGCCGAGAAGGCTTGGCAACGCTAACGAAGCTGCACAAGCGCAGGGCCCACGATGAACGGTTTAGCTTGTAACGAGCCTGGAACAAAGAAATTTCAGGAGCTGGATGCTTCCAAGAGAGCTGAGCCTGTGTTGAACTCGTGTGCCCAGGTTTCACCGTGTAGGCCTGGCCGTCCTGTGACTGGCCTTGAGTCATTGAGCTTTGACATAGACATCGCTGTGTCGTAGCTTGGCCTGGCCGTGCCGGGCAAAAAAGTCGAAGGGCAAGAAGTCAGCTGGAGTGAAGGGGGAGGCTGGGTGGAACTCGCGATCTCCTCAGTCGTGCAGTTGGCTGCAGCTCTGACTGCTCAACTCAAGTTGTGATTTTGAAGTGGAAGCAGGGGATTATTGGATGCTTGAGGCCGAGTGAAGTCCTCCATCCCAGCTTCTAAGTGGGACCTTATGAGTACTGATACTACGGAATACTGCGCGGTTGGAAGGGGATCTTTGCTTGCCTTCTCCTCGTGGAGGGTACTGTAGGAGTCATCGATCGGTTTTTGCATTCAGGCCGCCATTTTCGAAGAGCCGGTAGACACGGAGTATCGCAGGTCGCCGGGGACTTCAGCCGGAATTTTAGCAGATTCTAGCATTTCCCCTGGCAGGGCCGCAGAAGGCATCAGGAAAGCAGGTTGACAGCTTGCTGATAACCATTGCTTTCTTGACAGAAAACGACACTGAGCCCGAGCAGGGCTTCAAGCATGTTAATGTTCCTGAGACTCCAGGCCACGGCAAGACTGTTTCACGGTTCGATCTTTGCTGGCCAGTTGACCGACTTCATGCGTGCTGCTCTCGACAGGAGTTTCACCCAGAGCTTGCTGATTAGGCACAGGTTTAGCCTGGTATGTGTTGACGTGACGACAACTCAAGGGACCCGGGGTTTCCTGTTGCTACTAGTAGAGCACCCGCCTGAAGTAGCTGTGGGCAGAAGCACGGGTGTTGGCTGCAGAAATGGGGAAAGTTCTGCAAAGTGGCCATGGATGGCCGGCAAGCCGCCTGCACGCAGTCTCTTGGCGTGCATGAAGAATGCTGACCACGCCCGCTTACATGCGGGTGAGCTGTCCCGAGCCCTTGGCACGTTGCAGGCTCCGGTCAGTGCAGAGATCGAAAGTGCAGGCGACCTTGTTTCAATACAATGCAGCGGGAGCCCGAGCCTGCAGGGCTGCTCTTGTGCTTTCTGAGTTTGACTAGGGTTTTTCTTATCTTTGCTATGCGAAAATGTTAAGAATGAGTGGTAGACAGAGAGTTGTCTGCCAAACTGACGTACCAGGTGACTAGCTAGCTATTTGTAATTGATGAATCAAACAGCCAACTAGTGAGTCACCTATCTACCTAGATGATAAACTAATCGGCGACTGTTTCATGAGCTCATGAAATAACAGCCAGCAGCTACCCACGTAGCTAGGCAGCTGCTGGCTAGCAAGCTAGCCGCATGTCCAACAGATTCTTGCACCGGGTTGTCGCTTCGGGTGTGATGAGGGTTGTAGAGCTAGTTTTTTTCGTAGCTGTTCCTAACCCACACGAGTTAACAGTCAACATAGAAATTGCAAATAAACCGGTATATGCCCTCACACGGAGAGTGTGTAGTAGTTTCGGCGAAGTATTGGGCAGCAACCTAATCAGGCTAGCATGTACCGTGTGCGTTTCTTGGAGGCATGTGTGTCCAGAAGTGAGAACAGAGTTCGAACAAGCGTCCCTTGATTTCAGAAACAGAGCCCAGGCAGTGAAGTTCAGCTGGACGCTGGATGTAAAGACGGATTTATCAAAGATGCCCGGGACATTAATCAGAGGAAGAGTCGCTAGGGAGCGCACTTCGAAGCGACGAACCTTACAAGTTGTTCGTATCATTGCATGGCTAAGCGACGCAACCCTGCTAACTGCTAGCTCTTACGGTGAAGCCGCGCGATCTCTTCGAAACCTGCATCCCTGGAACTTACCTCGGACGATGCTTCGTTTAAAGGCATTAGCGATCAAACCCTTAGTGAGCCGAACAATTTTGCCTTGGCTTGCGAGGCGATTGCTGCTTGCAAGCATGGTGGCGCATGGACAACTGCAGTGCATATCCTGGCTCAGTTCCTGTGTCTGATAGCACTTACTG